TGTCAATATGTATAGAAAACCAACATACGCATATGCATGTGCCCCCTCTACAAATGTGTACACACATACATACGTAAGCAAATATGTAATACAGTCAATCCATCGAGTTATCTATTTCTCTCTCTGTCTTTCTAACCATCTGTCTCTAAAAGTGTACATTGATATGTATGCATGTGTGTGTACATGTTTATATCTATATTTATATTGGTATCTATCTATTTATCCCTTGCCTATCATTTCCATGATATTGTATAGGAGAGGAGGACTGAGGCACAATGTTAAGGATCATTCCTGTCTAGGGCCTCAGTAATAGACTCAACCCTGAGGTGTTGACCATTTTTTTCCCATATAGTTCAGGCTCACGATGGCTAATACTGTAGATTTTGCACCCTTATTAGGGGCATTGAGGCTTGACACTTCAGTCAACTAGCCTGTCAGAAGTTGACGTCTGCTTTCCTGATCCCCCAACTCTCTTTTGATCATAGCTCTGATCACTGATACTACTACCTTCCTCAATGCTTGCCATGAACTTGATTCATTCCAAATCATCCACCCAGGTCATTAATCACCCTTCAGAATACATCCCTTCCTCTCTCCCAACACCTTCCACTGCATCTCCTCCTCCTGCACAATCTTCTTCATTGTCTACCCCCTCGCCCCTTATTACTACTTTTCATCCTTATTGTCCTCCTAACCACATTACTACCTCACTCCACACCTCTCTCTTTGCCTCCTGTCCATGTTTCTTTACTACTCTCACCTCTATAAACTTCTTGGGTAGTCTTTTGAGCCCAGTCAAGTGGGAAAAATTCTTTGTGATATCCCCTACAGCCCCTTACTTTGACAATACCTTCCTCTTCTAACGATATCTCCAAAAACGAGTAGGCAAAATTTCCTTCTGCAGCTTTTCCTACCATTTATATCTTGTAATAGTAACATCTGAGTCCCAAGCTCATCCATTATTTACCCTAACTGATCTCACTGGCAAACCTATTCCTCCCCCCTTAATAACTGCACTGAAACAGTTTCCTTTTCATTGGCTAATTGCCCTGTATACAACATTGATTGGTCAGAGTGAAAACAACTTGTTGCCTGCCTCATTCACTGATGCAGTATCAGTACAGTGCTACATCAATATTGCCAAGATTACATGACCAGTTCATATTGGTGGAGGGTCCTTCCCTGTTTGACCATATCAACCCAGCCTCTATGAATGTCAGAAATGTTGGAAATTTGACCACCCTACTTAGTACTGTTGCTCCACAGCCCACTGCTCGCTATGTGGTCAACCTGGTCATGACCATTCAAATTGTTCTACGCTATCACACGCTGTACAAATTATGGTGGCTCCTGTAATGTATTTTATTGGAATTTTCTTGCCTACAAATCGAAGTCTGAGGAAGTAGTTCTCTGATTCAAAAATGGCCTGACTTTACACAAGGCCAGCCAGGAAGCATGCCAATGAGGTTTTTCTCTTTGCTACCTCTTCCAATGTTGTCTTTCACTCCACTCCTCTCTGTCCTTCTACAAGATGTCTCAGCATCTCCCCCAGTATCTGTTCCCCATACCCCTTACCATCCTACCTCCCTCCCAATCTCTTGCTCGTTGTTGTCATGGGAGGGCTTACAAGGTTGAGACTGAGACTAAGGCCCAAGGTAGGGGATCGCCCCTACCTTGGGCCTCAGCCCTTGCCTCAACTAATTTTGATTCATCTTTTCTTCTCTCCTTTCCTCTTCCATATCTTCTTCATCCCCTTCTTCTATCCCATTCTGAAGGTGAGAGAGCCGTGCTGAAAGGATGAAAGGCTGGCATTGTATTCCCTTGGTTAAATGCCTAGCCCTTACCCCTTATGGGGACCCTGAGGGGTATACCATTTCTTTTCTCTATTTTATTGAGGCTCACCATGGCCAGTAATGAAGATTCTTTACCCTTAATAGGAGCATTAAAGCTTGCCCCTTCATCAGCTAGCCTATCTGAATTTGATTTTCATGGATTTCCGACCCCTGCCCCTCCTTTGACCACGGCTCTGACCACTGATACTAATACTCCCTCCTCGACGCTTTCTGACAACTCTATCTATTCCAAAACACCCACCCTGGTTTTTAGTCAATCTCTAGAAAGCACCCCTTCCTCTCTCGCAACATTCTCCTCTCCATCTACTGCACAGTCTTTTTCAATGTCTACCCCCTCTTCCCTTACTACTATTTTTCATCCTTATTGTCCCCCCACAGAACTACTCCACTCCACACCACCCCATCTTCCTCTCACCCTCATCCTTCTACTGCCTCTACCTCTGCAAACCTTTTGAGTACTCTCATTGGCCCAGTCAAGTGGAATCAATTCTTTGTGATTCCCCCCATATTTGAGAATACCCTTCTCTTTCAATAGTGTCTCCAAAAACAAGTAGGCAAAGTTACCTTTTGCAATCACTCCGATCGTTCACACTGTGTCACAGTTACATCTGAATCCCAAGCTTGTGCACTATCTACCCTAACTAACCTTACTGGCAAACCTACTCCTGCTGAACCTCACCCCTCTCTTATTATTTATACTGGAACTGTTTCTATCCCCCCAAATGCTTATCCTATCTACAAGGACTGATCACACTGTGAAAATGACCTACTTACCTGCCATGCTGATTATGATGCAGTGGCAGTACAGTGCTACACTATTCCTCCCAGAGGCCAGTGTAAGTTTCATGTCAATATTGCCAAAATTAGCTTCCGTAGACATGACCTCCCCCATGAAGTTTATATTGGTGGATTGTCCTACCATATCGACCCCTCCTCGTCATTGTCAGAAATGTTGGCATTTTGGTCACCCAGCCAAACACTGTTCATATTGCCCTGCACGTACATGTGCCAATTGCGGAGACTCCCATATGGTATTTTATAGAAGCTACCCTACCTATAAGCTTGAATGTGACGTAGGAGTCCTCAGATTCAAACTTGGCCCCACTCTACAAGAGGCCAGACAAGAAGCACGACGATGAGGTTTTTCTATCTCAACTTATTCCAAAACAGTCCTCAGCTCTGCTCCCCCACCATCCTCACAAGATGTTTCTGCATCTTCCTCAGTATTTCTTCCCTATACCCTAAACCATCCTATGTTTATTCACCCTATCCCCGTTGCGCCAGGCAACCTAAACATTCCACTCCACCCTCTCTAACTACATCCTTTCCTACAGGTTCCTCCTCTTCTCCTCCTCATAAAAGAACATTTGTTTCTCAGTCCTCTTCATATCAACTCCCCTCCAGAAACCCTAGAAGACATCCAAAACTTCATAAAGATGACCCAAGGTAACACTCCGCTCCCTCATCCACCTGCCAATCCCAGTGTTCTTACTCCTCCTACATTTAAAGTATTTGCAGATATCCATCCTCCTCCTCCTCAAGTTCCCTCCACCCCCCTTCCTCCCACACCCTACCAACATACCCCACCCTCTCTACCGCTCCCACTTAGATACTTACACAAATCATCTCTATCACAACAGTGTCCTTCTCCCAACCCATCTCCTCTAGACATTCTTCCTGATACTTCACCCCCTACCCCCGCCCCTGGATTCTTCTCCTCCTACTTCTCCAAGAGTCACCTCTGTTTTCCTTGAACAATGTCCCTAGTCCTTTCCCAGTCATAGGTACACTGCAATTCACGCAATTGCTCTACCCCCTTAACCTTCCCATTTTACTAATCCCTGCTCTAATTCATTTACTTCCTTCTTTTCCCTTTTTGTTACCCTACTCTCCTATAACACTCTCTAATCCTTGACATCAGACACCCCCCTCTCTCCCCAGATCCTTCTCCTACTATTCCAACAGCCATCTCTATTTTCCTTGAACATTGTTCCTATACCTTCCCCAGTGACAGATACACTGTAATTCACTCAATTGCCCTACTCCCTTAACCCTCCTCTTTCTACTAATCTCTGCCATAGTTCACTAACACCCCTCTTTCCCTTTTCACTACCATACTATCCTGTAACACTCTCTAATCTTTAACCCCAAGCCGCTGGGCATGGTGTGTACGTACCTGCCATTGCCCATTGTGTGTGTTGAATTTAGTAATTGTTTTTACTTATAGATGGCTCCACAAGTAATAAGTCACCAATGAGCCAATTACGCGAATTACGTCTCACCTGTTCACCCTTTTCCTTGATTTTCGATAGTATTTTCTAATGTTTGATACTGCTGTTAGTAATGTCAGTAACAACATAGTAATTATAATGTTTATAACAAAAATAACAGTGTGAATATTGATAGCAGTAGTAAAAAGAAGCATTTTCCCACTTTTTCAAGGAAAAGTAAAATCGCAATTGACTCTTTGATTTTAAGAATTGGCAAAGCCATCTATGTGCAGAAACATTTAACCAAGGATTGGCAAAGAGAACGCACTATTTTCCCGTCGACATTGGGTTAACACATTTTATCGTAATTTTGAACTGTTTTACCTTTTCTGACATAATACTTTACCATAGTGCGATATGAGCGTTGATGTCTAGCACATTTATTTATTTCAAACTTTAACATTAACATTACCATCCAACCTCTACCCCTCTCTCCCTACCTTGGACCTTAGCCCTTGCCTCAACTAATTTTGCATGCTCTTTTCTTCTCCCCCATTACGTTTCCTTCTCTTCATCCCCTTCTTCTGTCCCCTTCCTAATGTGTGAGAGTAGTGCTGAAAGGATGAAAGGCTGGCTTTGTATCAGTCATGAACAGCCTTTAGGAGCCTATATTCTCTTGGTAATAGCCTCACCTTTACCCCTTATGGGGACCCTGAGGGGTAGACCGTTTCCTTTCACCACTTATTTCATACTCACCATGGCCAATAATGAAGACTTTACCTTTGTTAGGGTCATTGATGCTTGCCCCTTCATCAACTAGTCTATCTAATTTTGATTTTTCTGGTTTCCCTGACTCCTGCCTCTTCTTTGACCACAGCTCTGACATCTGAGCTCAGTGTTTGCTATCAACTCTATCCATTCTGAAGCATTCACCTAG